AGGCATGGATTGCCACAGAAAATATAAAGCTAAGTTTTTTCCTTTCCACTGAAGATATAGTTTTATTGCCAGACAGGTAAATTCTGGAACTAAAATTATTATTTCGCATAGATATTCTCATAATACTTAATGACTGATAGTCAAGTCTATATTTCAGAGTAACTTAGTTACATAAGGGTAAATTTTGTGCCTAAATCATCCTGGGGATTACATTCGTTTGAAATTGATTTTGATGAACGCATTATTGAAATTTTTACTATTACCAGGATAAGATTGGTAACCTTCCTTTACATTTTTCTCAGGCTCAAATGACAACCACCCTCTATTTGGGAGCTTCAATTCTTTGTTTATCCATGTGTGACAATGAATCCGGACTATTTTCCGAGGAAAACGATTAGCAAACGTTTGGTCCTGTCAAAGCATCCATAAGACATTTGGTCCACAAGACATTTGGTCCACGCCAAAAGATCCTTTACATCTGGTCCCGTCCAAAATGTCCATGAGCAGATTTGGTCCGTGCCAAATGGTGTTGGACACAGCCAAATATCAATGACCTTTTGGTGTGGACCCAATGTTTCCATGGAAGTTTTGGACAGGACCAAATATGACCAAATATCAAGGACCTTTCAGTGTGGACCACATGTCTTATGGACGTTTTAGACAGGACCAAGTGTCCTGCAAGGGAGGAAAACCTTAAGCCTGACTATAGTATTCCAGAATTCTCTCAGCTCACTTCTGTGCATGTCTATTCTGACCTGTGTCTTGGTCTTACTCCTGAATTCCCCTAAGATACGATTAATTTTACATTCCATTTATTTGAATGTTAAAGTTTATATCTTGTCCTTAATTGGCAACATAGAGCATTCATGCTCAGATTCTTGCCCAGGAATATAACCTTGAGCTCTCTAATGCTATATTCTGATCAAAAGCTCAGTTATGAAAAATGATATTCTAGGAGTATTGCCAGAGGCTAGGCAGTTCATACTTTCCTACATCAGTATTTTTTAAACTATATTCCACAGCATATTAATGCTGATAGATATTAACACATGTTTACAGAAAAGAAAAACGGTTTTTCAAAGTTAAATAAGTTTAAAAAACATTAGGACAGCAGGAATTCTTAGATACTTCAAAATGTTAATGTGCAACATCAATCACAAGAATATAATATGCTGTACCACCCAAACTTATTTGAAATCTTTTTTGAGGTGGCTCCCTACCAACATCTCAAAAACTTAATATTCTAAAGTTTTTGGAAATTGCCCACTTGAGATATTTTAAGGTTGATTCCTAAATCAGGTCACACCATAAGAGAACTCAGTAATTAAATAGCTTTTTTTTTTTTTAGACAGTATTTTTTAAACTCCTAATTTACTTGCTTTTACTAATTTGTACTTTGGCATTGTGACTTTGACTTGTGCTATAAGAAGTATCCTGGAAGAATTGTGCTCCTACTGAATAGTTGGTATGTATTGAAAAAAAACATGTTTTGGGTTGCGTTTTGGTTCAAATCTGAAAATGCCATCATTTTAATTTTTTCACAGCTGGCAAGGAGACACTCTATTAATTATAATGAATAATTAATTCCTTCTTTGCTTTACCATTGGTTTATAACCAGTGGTTATATTGTACCTTAGAGGGTATCGCAATAATTAGGAGTAGGGAATAATTCTGACATTTACTGAGTGGAGGTCAAGGATGCTAACAAATCTGCCTTGTAAAGCTCTCACATAATATTGTCCTAAAATGCAAATAACGTCTTGCTGAGAAACTCTCTAGCCAATAAGAAGCTTATTGTCAAATTTATCACACACCTCTAAAACATGATCAGTCTTATGATTACTGGGAACATATAATTTATCATCCAAACTTGACAACTTGACTCTAAGATATATAGAGAAGAGCAAAAGACCAAGAATAACCAAAACAAGTTTGGAGAAAAGAATAAGGTATAGAAACTCACCCTTCCAGATATCAAGACTTACTTTAAAGCAATTATAATTAAAGCTATGTATTAAGGATGCAAGGATAGACAATTCAGTGCATAAAACAGAAGAGAGTTCAGAAACAGACACATGATATACATGATATACGACAACAACGGTATTACAGATGAGAAAGAAAGAATGTATTACTCTCTAATTCATATTAGGACAATTGGTTATCCATAACAAAAACTAAAATACAATTGGACCTAGTTGTATGCTGGAGTTAGATCAAACTGACCAGTTGCTAAATAGTCAACAATTTCACAAGTGTACTGTTAAACCATTGGTAGATGGGAATCAGCCATGGTGAGAGTACTTATACCACGGAAATCAGCAAATGCTACATACATATCAGGGCTATTTTTCCCCCTGGAGAGCCAGTTTACCAGCACATCACTGGATTTCTACCTCACACCATAACACAAAAATCAGTTCTAAGTTGATTAAAAACCTAAGTGTGAAGGGCAAAAAATTAAAACTTAGAAGAAAATACACAGAGGAAAATATCTTCAAAATCTTGGTAATAGTAAGAAGTTCTGCACAACAAAATCATGTAACTTAAGGGTCAAGTTTGCTAAATTTGACTACATTATAATAAATTTTAAAACTACACTGAGCTGTCATCCAAGTACACCATAAAAATGCGAAAGAATAAGTTCAGAGTGGGGGATGGTAATTGCCACACACACAACAATAAATTTGTATCCAAAAATATATTAAAACCATCTACAAATCAATAAAGAATATATGGATAACCCAACTGTCAGTAAATTGAAGACACTGTAGCACAGACTGTTAGTTGGTCCCTAACATTCATTTACCATGATCATCTCGTGGCAGAGTGGGAGAAGCAATGCAATCAGGAGCAATTCTATTGTAATATTTTATTTCTCAAGGATAGTGGAAAGTTCATGGTTATGATATTATTCTCTTTACCTTTTTATACGTCAAAATATTTCAAATTTTAAAGATGTTTATAGTTTATTCGGTGATAAACACTTCACTTTCTGATATGTTGCATTTAAGTGCCCACTAGGCATCCAGATGAATCTTGTTATGGAGATGAAAATGTGGCTCTGGCACGCTTTCTTGAAACTCTCTACTATATGCTCAACTCTTCTTCTTAACTGGATTTGGTAGATCCTCTTCTGATCTCCCATAATTGCAGATTCCCCAAAATGTCTTCCCAAGGCTTGTTGTATAAAAGACATCATCTTTATAGCGAAGATAACACTCTATTGTTGGATCTGTATACAAGAGGTCAATCTCAAATAAATTACTCTAGCCTGCCTGAGGAAAAGACACAGCTCCGAGATCAGAAATTGCAACTAATAGATCTCTAGATGATCAATGAATATTAAATGCTATCTGAGCTTCACCATAAAAGTTATCAAGGAGTCTGAGAAATAAGATTCCATGTTATGGGTCACAATATACCCTTCCCAAGGACAAGGAAACATTAGGTAACTTGGGGAAATTACCTGAGAAACTGAAGTAGCCCTTTGGCTATATACTATGTCTATTCTAGGTTGGCAAGCCACAGAAGCTAGTTAGTCTTGGTAGGAAAAAAATGGAAGGAAACTAGCTTGGACTGATTGTCTACAATATACTACTCATGATGCTATCTATCATTTATAAAACCATGTGATATTATTTAATCCTCACAACCTTTTAGAGTTGATATACTACTAATGAGAATACTGAGATTCTGAGGAGTCAAGTAGCTAACTAAAAGTATTTTCACAACTTATACTGAAAGTAGAATTTAAAATGCAGAACTTGGAAGGAGGGGTGTGTGGAGATGACATTAACAACCAAAGCAAGAAGGTAAAAACTAAGTCAATACCTTCTCCTCACCTGATAATTCTTCCAGTGTTAAATTTTTTGGTTCCATATTAAGGCCTCCTGTAACTCTAAACCATTTCTTTTTGGTTATTTTCCTCAATCCTATATCTTCAGCTAAAACTGCAATGTAAATTACTTTAAATTTTGTATCTCATTAACTCTTGGTTTTTAAGCTTGCATTTTCAAGTGCTGAGGGGTAGCATCTCAGAGACTTCAAGTTCAACACGTCCAAACTAAACCAATTATCTTTTAGCCACTTCCTTTCCTTTTTGTTCCCTATCAGTTAACGGGCACCATTCTCCGGGATTCCTGGGTGTTACCTCACCTTCACCCATCCAATTTTTGTAGATTTTATGACACTTTCTTATTAGTTATGACAACGACTATTTCAAGTTTTAGTTATTTCTGTGTGCCAAACTCTTCTCCCAGAATATCTTCAGGGACCAATCAACATAAAAACAAAAACTAGAACTTCTGTGTGAATACATTTCCTGGAGAGGTCCATTATCACCTAACAAGCAAGGTTTCCAAATGTCTCCTCAACAGCTGGACATTCAATGATCAATAATATGTCTGAGTTTTTATAATTAGCATGTCTTCTTATCTAACTAATTAAAAATTTTTGAATGTGAAAACTTCTTATAACATCTTAATAGGACAAGAAATTAAAATGTGTGTCAACAGCAAACAGAAGTGATAGAACTGGAAGCAACCAAATGAACAGAAATATCCCAATAAAACTTGTCCTAGGCAGTGGGCTGGAGGAATAAACTGAGAATATTAAGTGGGAAAAAAAAGAAGCAAAAGTGGGAAAACGAATCGAGAAAGAGAAAGCAATCCCACAAGAGCAGTAAGAGAGGTTCTTTCGATAGAGGGAGACAAAACATCAACCAGTTCTATCCTCTACCAATACTCAAATTCGAGCACATAGTAAGTAAAGCTGGGTTTTTCTCACACCGCTTTCTTACTTTGGCAAACTACGGCCAGCCCTGCGTCAGCCAGTTGCTTTCAGCCCGCGGTATTAGAATACGCAGAACCGAACAAAACAACGCCGGTTTCTATGAATGCGCATGCGCAATTTCAGCACCCCCCCCATCCCACCCCACCCAGGCCTCGAAGGAAGTGACGCAAAGCTGAGGGGCGGGGTGGGCTCTGCGCCGGAAGTGGCTCGCAGATAGTAAATAAGCCAGGAAAGGCTAGGGAAGCGCTGTCTCCATTTTGTCGGGGTCCGCTGCGCCTGCGACGTTGTGGAGATGGGGAGCGTCCTGGGGCTGTGCTCCATGGCGAGCTGGGTAAGGTGGTTTTTGGCGGCCTTTGGGGTGCTAGCGTGAGAGCGGAAGGGAAAGGGACCCGAGTGGGGCTGGGTGAGGCCCGGCGGGTACGTGGTACTCCACCCAACAGGGAGTGCCTTCAGTCCCCATTTTCTCCGTATGTCCCCTGGTCACTCTGACTCAGCTTCGGGGCTCTGAGTCTTGTGAAGAGCTGACCGGGGTGGCGGTGAGGAGCAGTGGAAATGGGAAGATGACCCCGAGGGGAGAAGTGAAGAAGAGACCTGGTCTCCCTCGCCACCCGTCTTTCGTGAATGCTGTTCCCCATTCTTCCAGGCCCCTTTCTGTTGTTCTTTTCTTGTGTCCGCCTAGGCCATCTCTACAAAGGTCTTAGGCCCCTTCCTCTGTGGAGTACCCTTTCTCTTCCCCGCCACCTCCGACTGCAGCGCCGTCATCCCTGGAGGCGTGTCGGCCTCTTTGTTCTGTCGCGCAGACTAACAATTAAGAAGTGCCTGTTATTTGGGACGGCCTGGCAGTGATATTGATGTAGTAATACTGTTTTGAAATAAATAGTCCTAGCTTCGCGGCTGGGTCCTCGACCTTAATGGTGTGAGGAAATGACTGTCCTTCCAAGTAATAGTTTGTGTATCTGAAAAAGCTGGTCAATTCTGTGGTATTAAATACCTTGTGTCTTTTGATATAAAGCATGCCTCTGTAATCTGAAATTTCCTGTTTAGGTGTACGTTAAATTTTGATTAGGTAGCATTAGAGTGAACCCATTTTTCATTATAGTGACAAGTTTTCTTATTTAAAGTGGTACAGGTAAACTTCATTTTAAGATATCCCCCCCCAAAAAAAAGATTGACCTTACAGTAAATGAGGATATTTGTAATTTTGGGCGAGAATTTTGGGTTCAAATCATATTTCTTTAATCCATGATTTCTAAATTCCACTTCTAACAATTGCGTCTCTGACTCCGTTATATACGTTAGCCAGCATTTTCATTATTTTACATGCCTGGCCTCTTTTCAAAAAGTTCTCGATATGGCTTGAACTATAAATGTTAAATTTTAATAAAGTAATACCTGGAATTTGTTACTCTAATCCAGATAATTCTCTTGATTATGTTATACTTCTTGTTGTTGGGTATGGAAACCTGGTATATTTTTATTTCAATAAGCTATTAGAGAATCTACTTGAGTCTGTTGACTCAAGTTTTATACAAAGGAGGCATATTTAATGTAAATAAATAAAATGTATTACAAAATAATAAGTGATTATTTTAAGATTGTTTTCATTGTTTTTTGGGGGAAGATGTGGTGTAATTTGATTTGTAAAGTCAGATTTTGTCCATTTGTCAAGTGGGCATATTCTTTGTACACAGTAAAGATTTAAAAGGAGAAATACATGTTTTCCATTTTGTCCTCATTTGCAGATCAGTGATAAGCAACTTTTCTTGCCTCAAGGACAAATATGGTGAAAAACAACAAAGCAGTTTTAAGGATTTTTTTTGTGTGTTATATGTTTTAAGTTAGAAAGAAAATAGCTTTAGTGAACAATATGGGAAAAATTATATTCCTATTAATGTTTTTATGACCTAATTCTCCATCTTCATTGACTAGAAAACTGTGATAAAATTGACACTGCCTTTTAATCACTGTTAATATCAAGGTATATTGGAAAGATGCTAACAAGGAGGCAGTTTTCTTATCTTCCAGTAATTAGATCTCTTGGCAGGTAGAGAGGCTGGGTGGCCAAGGTTGCTCTTCACGGTTCTAGATTATTGTGGCCAGTCTAGGAATTGATTCTATGGTATGCAATTTTGATCATCTTTTTCCCTTTCCTTCCTGGTGCCTCTGTCTTTCCTGGATTGTTCAATTTTAGCGCAGTTTGATAGCAATTGAAAGGAAATTTGCCTTGAAATATACAAATCCATTTCTTCCAGGGTCTTAACAGTGAGTATGTTCATTTACTTAGAGGTTTTGACGAATTTAAAGTTTATTCAGAGTTTCAAAAGTATTCAAGTCATTAAATTAGATCACTTAAGGCAGAATTAAACAAATCCCGTTTTTTGCTTAAGTTTCTTCAGGCTTCATCAGTTTTTATAAGTTTTTTCTAATTTATAAAACTACTATAGAAAATTTCTGAACTATGGAAAAAGTATACAAGAGAAAAATGACATGTAATACTACTGTGTAGAGATTGGAGTGTTAGATTTTTTATTTCACTTTGATTTTTTTTTGCTGTTAAGTGGCCCATGAGTAGATTGATCATAATCCTTGGTTCATGCGTCTCTTGGTTCATGCGTCTCATGTCTCTTTGATTCGTGATTACTTTGAACACTGTCATAAACATCTGTGGACCTCCTGCCTAATCCTGTAACTACCACAGTACCAGCAATTTATGCCTACTTAAGTGCTTTTCTTCACCCCAATCTCAACAATGGTGTTAGTGACTAGAATTGATTTTTTGAATGACTGGACCTTGTATACAATAGCTATCATTTTTTGCCCAAGATATTTAATATAGTTAAGAAGAAAGAGCTAGTGATTACTGACTGCCTATTTTGTGTCATCCTCTGCTAGGTTTGTATTTTTTAGTACAATGACTTGTTTTTGTAGAAATGATTCATAGTTGCTATGAATAGTCAAGCAATGCAGAGTACAAAGTTAAAATGTCACAAAAAAATCCCACCACCACTAACATTCCTTCTCTCTCAGTGCATACATAGAAATGGGTGAATGAACAGACAAAAATAGGAATGGTAGCAGGCTAAACATGTATTTTTAAACCATTAAATTTAATTTTTTCTGAATTTAACAAAAAAAGTAAAGGAATTGCTGAATAGTAGGTAAACATTTTTTTCATCAGGAGAGTTTCCTAGAGAGATTCCTCTTAGGAGACCTTTCTGTAGTGGTAGTTCTCAACTGGGCATGGTTTTGCCCCCCAAGGGACGTTTGGCAATGTCTGCAGACATATTTAATTGTCACAACTTGAGGTAAGGGATGCTAATAGCATCTAGTGGTTAGAGTCCAGGGATACTGCTGAACATTGTACACTGCAAAGGACAGCCCCCAACAGCAAAGAATGATTCAGCCTAAATTACAATAGTGCCGGGGTTTACCCTCTTCAGTTGGTCAGAGCAAAAAATGGAACGAAATCTGGGAGTCTTAACTGCTCTTTAAAGAGACATTTACCCAATCCTTTTTTCACCTCTACCTTCGTGGACTTATGGAGGCACCTGGTACCACCAGTTCCTGATCCATTTGGGGATTCTGCTGTACAAATTTTATTGCTTCTTGACTTCTTCCTTTGATGGCTTATAATTCAACTTTTTTGGCCTGTTAAGTCAGTTATTACTTTCTTTCTGGATTTATTCTCCTGTTATTTTTTTTTTTTTACCTTTTCAGTTTACTGTTTCTTTAAATAATCTCTTTATTTTTCATTTTATTGGTGTTTCTAAAGGGAGCATGGGTAAATTCATATACTGTTTATTCAGTCTGCCGTCTTTAACCAGAATCACTTTGTATTTTTTAATATGTGGCCATTATGTTTTATAACCATAATTCCCACAGTTGTTTAGTCTTAGAACTAAACTAGTCAATCTTAAAGTGTGTTCCCTGGACCCAGTAGCATCAGCACACCAGGAGACTTGGAGACACTGACGAGGGCCCAGCATTCTGTTTTAATAAGCTCTCCAGGTGATGAGAACCACTGCTCTGCACTTAAGTGGATTCAAAGCTCTAAGCATTCTTTTTTACCTTGGCTTCTCCCAAATTTTTATCTTAATGTCTCCTAATTGATAAATTTTGTCATCTAATAGATTTTTCAAAAAAGACTAATGGATGCTGAAATCCTGAATTCTTTCATATTTAAAAATGTCTGTTATGTTCTTGAGAGACATTGTGGACTGGTATAATAGCATATCCATTTGCTTCAAAAGTTTGTATTTCTATGGATTGTGTTCTGTCTTACACTGCCCTGGTATCCACTCTCTCCCAGTACATCTCCTCACATGTACAATTGACTTGTTTCTTCTGCCTGGGTATCTGAAGAGTTTACTTATCTTTGAAATTAAGTAACCAAATATGTCTGACTTTAAATCTTTTATCACTTTTTTTTTCTTCTGGAAAATAGTGTTCTTTTGAAAATACAGATTCATTTCTTCGTCTAAGGAAGCTTTTCTTGTGTTATGTCTTTGAAAGTCCTTTTTTGTTTATTTAGAGAATTCTCTATTTTAAGGACACCAGTTACTTTCATGTTATATTGTCTTTGTTTTCCTTCAATGTTGTTTTTCTATATTCATTTTTGTCATTTTTTTAGTTGATATAATTTACATAAAGTTCACGCTTTGTAGTATAAAACTCTGTGAGTTTTGACAAATCACGCAGTTATGTAACCACTACAGAACAGTTACCACCTTAAAAAATTCTGCCGTCCAATCCTTGGCAAACCCTGTTTTTCTGTCTTCAGAGTTTTGCCTTTCCAGAATGTCATATAAATGGAATCATATACTGTACAGCCTTTTGAATCGGGCTTCTTTTACTTAGTAGAATTCATTTGAGATTCATTCATATTGTTGTGTTATTAGTTTGTTTCTCTGTATTGCATAGTATTCCATTGCTTGGATATACCACCGTTAGTCCACTAGTTGAGGGGCATTTCTAGATTTTGGTGGTCAAGTAGCTGTAATCATTTCATAAAGTCACATTTGTGTGACTGTAAGTTCTTATTTCCTTACATAAATAGCAGTGGAATTGCTGAGTCATATGGTAAGTGTATGTTTGACTTACAAGAAGCAACCAAAATGGTTTCCAAGATGACTGTACCATTTTTCATTCCCACCAGCAAAGAAAGTTCTAATTTGTTCTGCATTCTTGTCAGTGCTTGGTATTATCAGGTTTTTTTGATTTTAGCCATTCTAATATGTGTGTGGTGGTATCTCATTATGGTTTTAGTTTGCATTTCCCTAATAACACATGACATTAAGCGCTTTTTCATGTGCTTGTTTGCTATTCATATAT